TGGGGGGACATGGGGGGGGACATCTGGCATCTTGTCCTCCCTCTGTGCAAACTGGGGGGGTCACAGCCAGGGGGGGGGATGCTCTGCTGTCCCAGGAAGTGTGTGCTCCATGGCTGGGGCTGGTCCTTCACCCGAGGACACCAACACAGGGGTTGCATGGACCCACAGCAGACCCCACATGGGGACATCCCCGGGGCATCGTGTCACCTGGGAGAGTGGGACATTTTTTGGGGGGAATGGGGGGGAAAGGAGGAGAGCAGCACTCGGAGGTGGGGGGCACAGCCTTTACTTCGCAGACAGAAGCTTTTATCCCAAAGCAAACCCCACTTTTTTCTGGCGTGGAAGAGCCGCGGTGCCCAGCGGCCGTGGACGGAGCTGCCCCACGGGATGGGACCACGGAAAAGGAGAGATTCCCAGGAATATCCCTCCTGGAAGGCAAATATGGGGAGGATGGGGACGGTGACACCCCCATCCCACCATCCTGTCCCCCCCACCACCACCAGCCAGCCCTATGCCCAGTAGACGGGGACGGTGCTGCAGAGGATGTTCATGGTGGTGCCCAAGATGGAGCGGTCGGCCAAGGGCATGGCGTTGTCCCCATCCTCCTTCACCTCAGCCTGTGGGACAGAGAAACGGGGGGGGGGATGGCTACCACCCTTGGCTGCTGCTAGCCATCCATCCAACGGATGGTTGCCACTTGCCCCTGGCTGCCTGGGATGCAGGGATCAGGCTGGGAAGCCCACCCCCTTCTTCTAGGGTGGCCACCACTCACCAGCCGATGGTGGAAGGTCTCGGTGATGGCATCTAGCCCAGGGATGTTGTCCTTGTCCACGCGGGTGACGTAGCAGGCGCGGTGACGCCAGGACCTGTAGCCCACCAGCAGCTGTTTTGCAGAGACACCCCGGGGTCAGCTCAGCCCCTCTGTCCCCTCTGCCACCATCCTGCCCCCCATCTCCCCCCTCTTCCCCGGGATGGGGGGCACCTTGCTGTAGTTGTACACCACCACGGCGGTGGCGTTGAGACCATCCCGCACGGCGAACGTCCCCGTCCTCTCCTTCTTGCTCATGGAGAGGTGTTGGGGGGTCCCTTCGCCGTCCAGACCATGGATGGTCATTCTCAAGACCTGCCGGGCAGAAGGAAGAAGGGGAGAAGGTTCAAGGAGCATTAATGGGGGGGGTCTAAACCCCATCCCTACAAAGTGCCAGGAGCTGGTGACATCCCTGGTGTCACACCATGGGTGTCCCTTGTGCTGCCCTCACCGTTTCGGCGTGTGTCTCGGTGATGTGCAGCCCCAGGAGGAGGAAGGCGACGATGACCACCACCAGGACCACCACCACCACCACCACGATGAGGAGGCACTTGAGCTGGTGGGGGATGCAGGGCAGGCGGGGGGAGGCCGTGTACCTCTGGGGACATCAAGGGGACCAAACCCGGTTGAGCCCCCCGGTGTGGGGGGGCTGGGGAAGGTAATGGGGGGCTCAGCCCCACATGGTCCCCCCCAGGGTGGGGTGGTGGGTGCTCCTTACCGGAGGTGCCTCCTCCATCAGCGCCTCTTTGGAGCTGCCGTCCATCTCGTCCTCCCTCGCTGCGTGGCTCCTGTCCCTTTGCCAGATGGAGCTGGGGGGCATTTATAGGGACCCCAGGGTGG